ATTCATCATCATCCTTCACAGCCCCCATCCGCATCCTGGGGTCTCTGCTCCTCCCAGCTCCCCTCTGAGACCCTTCCTCGCCTTGGGTTCCCACTGCCCTCGGGCTGGCTGCCTCACCTGCTCCCTCAGCTCAGACCCGCAGCCTCCTGCAGTGGGCGGAGGGTGCACATGTCCCGCCTAAACGCATTTATTGAAACCCAGCTGCAGGGGCCAGCGCCGTGGCACAGTAGGCTAATCCTCCGCCTGCAGTGCCAGCATCCATACAAGCGCCAGTTCTAGTCCCACCTCCCCCTCTTCCGATCCAGCTCTCTGCCTTAGCCTGGGAAAGCAGTGGAAGATGGCCCAAGTGCTTGGGCCCCTGCACCCATGTGGGAGCTCCTGGCTTTGGATTGGCCCAGCTCTGATCGATGCGGCCATTTGGGGAGTAAACTAGTGGAAGGGAGACCTTTCTCTCTGCTTCTCCCTCTCGCGGTCCATAACTCTACCTCTCAAATAAATAAATAAATAAATAACAATGAAACCCAACTGCCAAGGTGAAGAGGTCCCAAAGGTGGAGGCCTCATGACTGGGGGAGTGCTCTTAGCGGAGAGACCCTGAGAGCGCCCCTGCCCCTTGCGCTGTGTGTGAGCACACAGCCAGAAGGCATTGTCTGTGAACCCGAGGGGGACCCTCGTCAGATCCTGGACCTTGACCTTGGAGCCCCAGCCAGCAGAACCATGAGAAATACATGCCAGCCGCTTATGAGGCTTCCAGCCCCCTAAGACACCTCCTGGCAGGCCGGGCTCCCCACGCCCAACGGGAAAAGGCGAACACTTCCTTTGAAGGCCACGGGATTGCCCCCTCTGTCAGTGCGTGCGGTGCTCTGAGACCCCTACAGACTCAGGGGGTCGCCTACCCTGGGATGCTGATGGAGGGTGGGGGAGGCATAGCAGTTGGTTAACACTGCAAAGGTTGAGGGTCACAGCCCAGAAATTCTCTTGACGCCTTGGACATGGAGAGGCGCTGTCCTTTGCCCAAGGTCACGCAGCTAATGAGCAGCTGCACAGGGAGCCCCCTCACGGTCAGTGAAGTCCTTGAAGGAACAAGAGGGGCTGGCGCGTCTGTGTCCCCAGCTGGGACAGACGCTCGGGAGCAGGGCCCACGCCCCTGCGCACTGTGTCCTCCTTAGGCTGGCCGCACACGCACGGCTGGCTTCCTCTTTGTTGACAGAGAAGAGCAAAGGACTATTCGGCAGGTGCAGTCCCACGCAGGGTCCCTCCGCCAGGGAAGAGCGCGTGCAGGTCGGGAACGGGCAGGGTCAGAGTCCTGCCCCCTTGCTGGTCTCCAGGACCCAGCCAGGGTCGGCCTGGCTGTAGGAGCTGCCCCCGCACTCAGCAGCCAGCGCCACACTCAGTCTTCCGCAGCAGCCCTTTAAATATTTGAAAGCAGCTGCCGGGATCCACTTAGATCTTCTTCTTCCACGTTCCTTCCCCAGCTCCTGGTAGAGACGGCTGCGGGGCAGCCCCTCCCCCTCCTCCGAATGCCACCCCATCCATCAATGTCCTTGCTCAGTTGTGGCTCCCAGAATGAGAAGCGCGGCTCCAGATGTGGTCTGGCTGCTGTGGCCCGTCCTCTAGGCTCTGTGCTTGGCCTCAGTAAAGCCCGGGAGGGCATCAGCTCTGCTGGCCCCCAGCACACCTGGTCTGCTACTCCACCTAACTGGATGACCAGGATTCTCCACCTTGTCACCGAGGATGACATCATGGTCTTCACAAAGCCCCTGGCTGAAATCCAGACGCGCCCTCTCCGAGGTGCCCGGCATGGCTACCAGTCTAGAAATCCACTGGCCACTGAAAGGGATCTGCTTTGACCAGCCCTGCCCTTGGTGAACCCAGGACAGGTCCTAGCGATGACGCCTTCGTCCCTACGGGCTCACAACCCACCCAATCCACAGTGGCTCCAGAGCCCTCCTAGCCCGAGGCACTCTCTCCACGTCTGGCCCCAGCAGCTGCGCCCGGCTGTCTGACTGGTGACGCCGGCGGTGAGGTTATGGTGGCAGACAGGGGGCTGCCTGGGGACAAGCAGAGGAGACTCAGCCCACGTGCCACAGACGTGGCCGTGCTGCGGAGAACGTAAATAGCTTGACAGAGGCGCTCTGAGCCCCGCGTATGAACAATGCCGAATGCCTGCGCGATGTTTGCATCAAAGGAAATAAGGAAAACATCATTGGAATCCCAATTCTGCCAAACCATTTCCTCTCTCCTCTCACTCCTATAATTAGGTACTCTGGATTTTTAGTATCATTTTGTGTGTGTGTGTTTGTTCCTTCTGATTTCCACAGGCTATTTTTAGACCAATCATGACTCACTTTTTGAAAGGCAGAAAGGAAAAAAAAAAAAAAGTCTTTTTCTCTAGCAATCAAATGTTCCTGTCCTCTGGGTGACATGCATTTAGGTAAGTCATAGCTGGGTGACAGACGCAGGGGCACAGGGGGAGATACAGAGACACCTTCAGCCCCTGGCTGTTCAACCCCACCCCGTCCTCCACGGAGGGAACAGGACCCAGGTTCAAGGGGGCCCTAGGCGCCAGCAGACTATGTGGGGACATTGCTGGGACACAGAAGTCAGTGGCCTGGGAGAACCAGGAGGCTCAATGTCCTGCAGGCAGAGCTGGGAGGTCAGCAACAAGGAGACGGGACTGCGCAACAGCGGGCAATGGGGAGCCCCCTGCTCTGGAGGGTGCAGCCCCAGCCGGGTGACAGCGCCCGTGGCCGAGTCCTTGTCCAGCACAGACCGTGTGGAATGTGCCAGGAAAGCTGCTGGAAGAACGTCAGCTCCAAAAGGCAAACTGAGTCACTGTGTGGGCAGTGTCAGGCAACACCAGGGCTCCGGGGAGGGAGGGACGCCTGCACCTATGGGAGCACATAGGAGGGCTGGCGGGGGATGGGGGCGGGGGTGTAGAATTCCGCCTTCTTAGAGAGGCCTCTCTGAAGAAGGGAGGCCTTGCTTACCCACCCCAGCCCCTGCCCCCCACACCCTGGGGGGACGCCCCCAGCCCACACAGGAGGGGCTCGGAGCGCACTTCGCTGGCGGGTCGGGATTCGTCTTCTTCCTTTAAGTGCCCAGACCCTTCACGGGGAGTCTTGTAGTTAACACCCTGCCCTTGTGTGCTGAAACCCGCAGGCGCGCCAGTGCACCACACACGGGCCAGCCCCGCCTCGCCTCCATAGCAGGAACCTGCCTAGCTCCAGAGGAAGGGGGTGCGCGCCTGGAGGGTGTGCCTGCATGTGGGGAAGGGGAAGGTGTCAGCTGTTTCTTGGGCCACATCTAACCCACACGGGTCCTTTCCCGGCCTACCAGGAGCCTGGTGCCCTCTGCCCACCCCCACAGCACCTCAGGATCAGTGCCCACACAGGGCCCCGCGGGCCTGGAGAACCACTGTAGAACTTCATAGTGCCTGCAAATCCCGGCCTCGTCTGCTGTTCTTGGACTGTCCCTTGACTTACTGAGTGTTTGTTCAAGGCCTACCCACCCTTCTGCAGGCTCTGAGAGTGCCGAGAGTGACCAAAATCAGACCCAGCGCCTGTGCCCCCGGGCAGCCTGCAGCTTGAGGGCAGGCAGAGCTGCACAACCGGAAAAGTGTGTCCTGCCCGTGCACACAGGTGGGGAATCACACAGTGCTAAACAGGGCGTAACCCCGGGATTCAAGGCGGGCTTCCTGGAAGAGGTGACATTTGAGCTGGAGTTATGAAGGAGTGGGACCACCAGGTGAGGGGTGGGGAGGTGTGCAGGATTGGAGGAGACTGACGCTTGGAGGACTGACAGCTGCGACCGCCCTGGGAGGGGCATGCATGGCTCACCCGGGAAGCACACAGGAGCCCGTGCACACGAGTCGGGTGTGGCTGCACAGTACAGACACGCCTGAGCCATCAGCCTGCCATCTAGGAAGGGAGGCAGACAGCTTGAGATTTCAGGAATAATTCCTCCCGACAGTCGGGCGAGTGCTCCCAAGGAAAGCATCCGTGCGGACAGAGGAGACGGGGGCCTACCTGAGCCGGGCTTAGGAACCACGCTCCACCAGCCTGGACAGCTGCTTGCACGGCTGGGTCTGAGGGAGGCCACGGAGGCTGGGAGAGTAACCATGGACTCCAGGCGCATGGGGATGCTGTTATCAGAGAGAAGGAGACTGCAGGAGCCAGAGGACTTTGGAGCACACTCCCTGGGCTGAGGGTGTGGGGAAGTGGTGGGCGTGTTCAGCTTGTCCCAGTTCTGGGCTCCCCCTGGGCAGGTGAAGAGAGGTAACGAAGGCTTCTGAGCTGAGCCACTCAATAAACTTGCCCTTGAAGAGCAGCAACACGGGAAAGTGAGGACAGTAGAGAACCCCAGGAACAGCCACAGCACGGGCAAAGGCCCTGAGGCACGAAGGACCTCGGCTCCTCTCCAGAACTGCTGTGGCTGCACTTAGCTGGAGGGTACAGGAGCATGGTGGGCCGTGAGGATGGACAGCACGCGGGGGCAGGAGCGCTGAGGAATCTGGGCTTGTCCTAAAGATAGAGAGAGCCATCGCAGGTGTGGAGAAAAAAAATGGCATGAGCAAATGGGGGCTCTGAAAGTCACCAGGTCAGCAGAGTGGAGGGTGTGGCTTGGTGAGAGTGGGTGGGGACCCAGGGCACAGGGCTCATAACGCAGGTGCAGCTGGGGGCTCCAAGTGGCAGGGCCGTGGGGCTCTGCACGTGGAAGGGTGGGCTGAGTTCCAGGTGGGCTTCCTGCTTGCCTAACTGCCCGTTGAGCACATAAAGACACCCCGGAGGCGCTTGATAAATGCATCAGAGGCCAGGAACATGGCGAGGGGGAGACAGAAGCTTGAGGGGCTCCTGGCTTGTAGGATGAGGCAGAGGCTGGGCCTCCTCATGCGTGGCCCCAGAAACAGCCCACGTCCCCACTGCGTGAGGCCAGCCCTTTGTCCTGGGGTGTTCCAGAACCTTCCCTCTCCTCCACCACCTCCCCCTGCGGCAGCGCCCAGCTGGACCTGTGCCTCACTCTCCCCAGCAGGGGGGTCTGAGTGACCCCTTCTCTCCTCTCCTCTGCTCCCTCCCTGCTCTGGGCTGCCACCGCCCATCTCCGGGGACCAGTCAGTAGCTCCCACCACCCTGGTCCTGTTTTTGCCCAGGGGCTGCCTGCCCCAGTCCCCCCCCCCCCCAGCAGCCCCTCCTCTCCTGGCTCGGGAAGCTCTGTGCCCGCGTCCCCTGCATCCCGCATCCCTCTCACCTCTGCTGCTTGGCTGGCAGCCCTGGAACTCGCTGTCCTCAGAATCCACCAGCCCCTGCACTTCCCCAGGCTTCCCTGCGAATCCTGGGGGTCTCTGTGTAAGCATCGCCTCCTGGGGAGGCTCCCCGGCCACCTTCACATCCAGCCTCCTCCCCGCGCCCTCTCACTTCACCCGCCGAGGCACTGCCATGCCACATATTCACAGATGGCAGCGCCGGGAGAGCTGGCACCTTCTCACTGCCACTCCCCAGGGCCTGCAGCAGTGCCTGCCCGTCGTGGGTGCCGTGAGCGACCTTAAATGCTGCCAGAGACCTCGAAAGCTCAGGACCCAAAGGCACCCGAGGGATTGAGCACCTGGGGGCTGCTGAGGACCTTGGTGTGGGCAGGGGAGGGTGGCAGTGGTGCTGAGGGCCAGGGCCATGGGTAAGCGAGGCCAGGATGGAGGAGGGGCTTGGGCATTCTCTGGGCAAAGCAGGTGGCTCCCGGATTGAGCCGAGAGACCAGAGGGCAAGGTGCAGGGCCTGCGACTGCAGAGCAAGACGGGAACTGGGTCTGCAGGGATGCACAGAGGTTGGGGTGCAGGGTCATCACTTGGCCCCCATGCCAACAGTTTTTTTTTATTCTACCTCACATGCACGTAAAAGCAAGGTTGAGGGTTCCATGGGAGAAGAGTTGAGCTGGGCCTTGGCTGGCAGGGCCTGGCCTCTGCCCTAAGTCCTGGCCCCACATAGCAAAGCCAGAGCCCAGCAGACGGCTAACTGGGCCACCTCCCCAAAAGGTGATGGGGAGATCAGCCAGTGCCGATGAATGGTTCCTCCAAGGTCTCACCCTGGACCCTGAGCGGATGACCCAAGGATTCCTTCCAGCCACATGCTCTGCTCCCTGAGAGGTGCGTGGGGCAGTGGGGCCGTGTCCAGTTCAGCGCATGTCTGTCAATATTCAGCACCGGGCTGACACTGACGCCCCGGGCGGTTGCCCAGTCTTTCAGCTCCAAGCAGGCCCTGGCCGTGCGCCCGGCCTTCTATTACACCCTTAGCATCCAGTGGCCGGAAAGGAGTTTGTGTCCTGTTGTGGTCGGTGGGGAGCTGGTGCGGGGAGTGGAGAGAGAAGTCGTGGGCTGCCTTGGGGGAAGCTGTACTCAGGGGTCACCTGGATCCCACCGCACACCCCCAGCCCCTGTCCCGACTCTGGCTCTGCAGGTACTTAAAACCGTGGGAAATACGACAGCTCAGGAGTCACGAGGTGCAGTTTTCAATCCTGGTCCTGTCCTGAGCCAGCTGTGTGATTTCAGGTTGGCCTCCAACTCCCTCGGGATCAATAAAGGGGGGGGGGGGTGGACCAGAATCTGAGCTCTCAGTTGCCTCCAGCTCCAGCTTCCACTGGGCCTGACCCATCTCGCTATCCCTCAAGTTCAACAGTCAGCTCTCAGCATGTGGCCGCTGGGTGGGGGAGGGGGGCTCCCTCGGGGATGCCCAGAGCAACTGGGTCACTTGAGTTAGGACAGAGAGATGGGTGGAAAGGGCAATTCAGGACATCCACGTATGAAAGACTGGTTCCCAAATCTGAAGAGAGAAAGAACTTGAGGTGCAGACATGCTTGGAGCCAGGAACGGTGTTCTGAGCACCAGAGGAGAAGGAAGGGTCGTGTCTGCACCCAGGAGAGGAGCGGGGGCCTCTGGAGAGGCCAGGACTGAGGGCGGTGGGGGAGGCCCAGGTGCAGGGGGCAGGCGGCCTCTGAGCCGAGCACAGCTAATCCCCGGGAGTTCCAACAAGACGTCCGTTTTTAGCAGGTTTTGAGGAAATTGCGGATTATGAATTGGCCTGGAGGCAGCGGGGGCTCATCCAGGCTGGGGACAGAGGAGGATGGGAAATAGCCAAAAAGCAGCAGGCGGGGTGGCCGCTGGCCCGAGAGTGCACCTGTCCTGCTGAGGAGGCTTGCCACCGGCATCTTCTCGTGAGGGAAGATGCTGCGCCCTGCCGCTTTGTTCATTGCCGACCAGATGGACCAGAGCCCCCCCAGAGCCTGAGCAGTGGGCGCAGACTCGGGGAGAGGAACACACTCAAAGGTGACGGGCGGGGCTGCGGGACTCCTCCGTGCCCAGGGTAATGACCTCTGAGGGCCATCCCTGCCCGGTGCCCCAGCCCTCCCCTAAGGCCTCCTCCAGCCGCCTGATAAGGCATTGCCTCTCTTAAATGCTATCCCCTGGGCTCACCGGCTTCTTTCCATACATTTTCACCCCTGGTCCGACTCACCCGAGCCCCAGCTCAGTGCTTCAAATGGAAGAGAATACAAATAAACCCGCTGCTCCAGCTGGGTTGCCCGGAAGCCCTCGGCTCCCCCGTGCCAAGTGTCCAGTCTGAAAGCTGGGCTAATGATGCTCCCTTGTATCCTGTCCTGCTGCGTGTTCCACGATGCTCCGGGAAGTAAGATCCAGAGGGTGGAGGGCAGCAGCCCCTGTGCCAGGAAGCCACGGCCAGGGCTGAATAGCGCACGGGGAGAGACGCCTCATCGGGGAAGAGCAAAGCCCCATGCTGGGAATCATACCTGTGTCTCCCGGCTAGTGGGAGTGGGGGAGCAGCGTGCAGGTCTCCGGCTGCAGGGACCCCAGAGATGCTCTCGCCCCAACTCTGGGCTACCCCCCACCCTTGCAGGCTCTCCTCTTCCCAAACCTGCTCAGCCCTGCAGCTGGCCCCCCAGAGCTCAGAAAGGGAAGTGGTTTAGGTGTGCCAAGAGCCAGCCATTGTCACAGGTGGCTTCCCAGCAGGTCCCCATGCTGGGAAGAGACTCGCCCAGGGGGAAACACCCTGAAGACGCTGCCGGGATTTTTGCAGATGAGAATGCACAGTGCACAGGGAAAGCTGCATCTCAGGTAAGCCGTGAAGAATGGTTTGGCATAAATAAGCTTGTCCCAAGTGGTGCATGGGACAGGCCTATGCTAAACAATTTTTATTGCATCCCTGAAATGCGCATCCGACCGGGCATCCTGGCAGCTTCTCTCTGCAGCTCTAAGCGGCAGACATCCTGAGCAAGGGCTGGTTTAGGGGAGGAGAAGTGTTCCCAACACATCCAGGAGGGCTCAGGAGGGTCTGTCAGGAATCCCTGGGCCACAGCCCCAGCTCCCACACACCCTCCGTGAAGCATCAACGGGGCCCTGCCCCCGGGGCACCATGCTGCCCACCTCACCGGCAGGGCTGCTCCCCAAGGCTTCAGTGCCCGCTTGGTCCCCAGCCCTGCCCATGCTTGTGTGATCAGCTTCCAGGGACGCGCCGCTGAGCCCTCCTGACCACAGTCCATTGGCTCTGCCTCTTCCTGGTCCAGATGCTTTCACGTCCCAAGCCGTGCTTTAGATGCCATGCAGGACTCTTCTTTCAAAGCAAGAGCAAGGAGAAAGCTAACCCCTGCCTTTGTCTGTGTCTCCCCTTTCAGGCCTATCGGCCAGCCCAGGTTCTCCTGGGCTCCGGAGCACTGGAAGGAGCCCCTGCTACATTCTGCCTGGCTGCCCTTGGCCCCTGCCCGGGCTAATTGAGGCTGGCGCGAGGCAGTGGCCACTAATGGGCTTCCTCTGCTCCGCTCTCGGCCGGCAGATGGAAGGCGCGTGATTGCCTATCCCAACCATTAAGCAGAGCAGCCAACACCATGCACGCGCTCCTGGCTGAGCAGCAGGGCATATGGGCTGGCAGGGAACGAGGGGGCTATCAGTGCCCTGGTCTCAGCCCTTCACAGATGGCAAAGGCCCTGGGAGCCTCCTGGAGGTGCCAGGGTCTGGGGCCACGGGATGGACGTGCAGGGAAGACAAGCAGCCAGACTGTCGGCTGCAGGCTCACGCCCGGGCTCCTGCACGTCTACTCCTTCCCAGCAAAGGGCACACGGGCAGGTGCCCTGGGGCCTCCAGGAAATGCCCCTATGCGAGACACCTCCGGGGACTCTGGAGGCTCTTGCTACAGGATGAAGAATAAGGGTCACACATCCCCAGAACACCACCCTCCCTTTACACCCCACTAACGCCACTGAAACGTCACTTCCTCTGGGCAGCCCTCCTGCTGTCCCAAACAAGGTCAGATCTCCCAGTGCACATTCAGGAAGCACCGCTGGCTTCTCTTTTGTATCATTCACCAAATTGTTACCATCGCAGGGCTGGGGCAAAGAATGCACACATAGCACCCCGAGGGGCAAGGCAAAGCTGCTTGGCTTCCCAACACGGCCCCTCCTTGCCCCAGGCTCGCACGCCGGCACGTCAGCTGGTGGATGAGAGGGTTTAGGCACAGCAGTGCCTGAACAGTGCCTAAACAGTGACTCTGCTGCAAACCCCTCTCAGACACCCTCCTCAAGTCCCTGAGGGTACCAGTTCATCCACCTGCCATCCTTGCATGGCATGTGGTGGCCAGGGATGGTTTCCTGGCCACCGTAAGACATCCCCAAGGCCACCTGTTCCTGGTGTTCCAATCTAGGGTCCTGAGGCCTCACCTGGGCTTTTTCTGGAATCCACATGAAGGCCCAGTCACCACCACCCCCGCCCCCAGCTCCCAGCCTCCTCCGCCCCCTGCAGGTGCCAATTCCATGAGCATTCCAGTTGCCCCCACTCCGAGATACAGAGGAGACTCTGGACTCTGCTGTGTTGGATTCAGGGCTGCAGCAGCAAGAAACACTGAGTCACACCCCCTGGGCAACCCCCCCCCCCCCAAGCCAACACTTGACCTCAGGCCACGCCCACGCTGGGAGGGCTGTCCTTGGCCAGCACACATTCCCAAAGCAGGGCTCCACCTGGTGTCCTCCACACCTGCCTGGGGTCATCTGTATTCTCCACCCCCTACTCTGAGAATGACCTGGAGCAGCAGGTGTGTTCACTGCCTCTCCAACCCCCCAGTCCTGCAGGATGGGGCCCCTCCCCGAGTCCCTTCCCCAGCCCACAGCCACACTCTGCTCAGACCTCCTCCAGGCGTTGCTCGGGAGATACAAAAGGTTGCTTCATAAATGGAGACCAGCGTTTTATCTCTGCAAATGAGGCTGTCAAGATCACGGTTCCACAAAGGTCTTTAAAAGCCACGCGATGACCCCTCTGTTCCTAGTCACGCGCTGGCTCTCGTGCTTTCTTGAATATGAAACAAAGGGAAGGGTGACAGCTTTCAAAGCCGGAGTTGTTAATCACCCAGGAGCACACTGCAAAGGTGAACCCCATCGCTCATGCGCGGCACGCGGGGAGCAGGCGCCCGACCCCGGGCGCCCAGGGTCTCCGAGGGCCTCCTTCGTTGGCAATCCTCCCCTCCCCCTCCCCGGGGATCCCGCGAGGGTAGAAGATCCCTACACAAAGAACTGCCGCTGCGAGAAAGGTTCCCGGGCCTCCGCAGGTCTCGCCAGGAGGAGCAGTCATCAATTAGCGTGCGACTTCTCCACACTTGTACCCTGTGAGCCAGCCCCGCCGTCCCTCCCTATGGGCTGCCTAATTGCACTGGGCAAGGCTGCTGGAGAGGCGTCTCTCCGGCAGTTTTCCAGTCCAGAAACGCGGCTGGCTGCTCCCTGGCCCTTCCCACGCTCGCAGCCCCCGCAAGAGGAGAGGGGGCCACGGTTTTATCAGGGTGGGGAAGGCTGGCTGGGGGGCATAGAAGCAGGCCTTGAAAGACTGGCCAGAGCCAGCTAGGCCGGAGCAGAAGGGCAGTTCCAGGCGTGGGGAGCCCCGGCCGCAGGGCACACAGGAGGGCGGGGGAGCAGGTGTGCTCCGTGCGGGGCGGAGGCCAGTGGGCAGATGAGCGTGGGAGGGCTGGCCCTGACCGCGGGGCCCTGGAGCTGGACTCGCTGGAAGGCTGGCCTGGGGCTGAGCAGGGCAGCTGAGGACATGGCCTTGTCTTCCTTCTTCCTGCCACAGCCCTGCCTTGGAGGCTGAGAGAAGCTTCTGGAGGGAATCTGCCCGGGGCCCTGCCTGGCGCCGTTGGCCTGGGGGCATACTCTGTGCCAGCTTCCATGAGCCGAGAGTAGAAAGGACACAGGACTCGATTGTAAAAAGAGTGTATTGATTAGGACTCGACACCCTCTAATACATCAGAAAAACCAACTCCAAATTACTTCGACAGGAGTCTACTGCTCCCACAGTTGGAGCGTACATGGGAAATGCCTGCCGGGGCTGAGCCTGATCCAGGGGTCTGTGCTGTCCCGTGAGGCTCAGCTCCACCTCTCTGGTTATCAGCCTCTGTCCTGCTCGGGTGTCCACCTCCTTTCCACACTGCATTTTCCCAGGGTAGGGAAATGGTTGCCAGCAGCTCTGGGACCCCACGCTTCCTTTCTCATAACCAACTTACCCCCAACTTCTAACAAAAATCCCAACTCTCTCTCTGATTGGACTAATTTGCCTCATAAGCATGACTCTGGCTGAGAAAATCCTATGTGTTGATTGGCTGGGTCCTGGGCTACTGCCTTTTCCTCAGCCAATCACTGGGGCAGGGCCAATACCATGATTGGCTTAGGTCAATGAGGGCGCTACCCTGGAGCCGAGTCCAACTCACAGGGTGTGGCTGC